CATCGCTTCTCTTCTGCGTTACCGCTGCTGATGTTCGTTATTCTGTGCCGGAGGAAACAAAGACAAAATATGTTATTGGAAGTCTGAGTAATGACCTTAATTTGGATTCTAATCGCTTGAGGATTCGCAAAACCCGTTTGGATTACCAAAGGGATAAACGATACTGTGAAGTAGACCTAGATTCTGGAAATCTTTTTGTTTCGGAAAGGATCGACAGAGAAATGCTGTGCAGAACGACAACCCCCTGCTTCATGCACTTTGAATTTGTTCTCGAAAATCCTTTAGAGCTTCATAACGTTGTTTTGGAAGTCCAAGACATCAATGACAGCCCTCCTGTTTTCCCCAAAGATTCAATTAAGCTGGAGATAAGCGAAGGAGCACCGACCGGAAGTAAATTACAAATAGCTCGTGCACGGGATTTGGATGTGGGAATGAATTCAGTTCAGACATATATTCTTAGCCAAAACAAACATTTTGTTCTTGATACAAAATCAAATAAAGACAGGTATATGGACATTGTTTTGAAAAACAGTCTGGACAGAGAGACAAAAGGAGAGCATTCCTTGATATTGTCTGCAGTGGATGGGGGAAATCCTCCTAAATCTGGAACAGTTGTTATTGAAGTGTTCGTGATAGACGTGAATGATAATGCACCATTATTTTCGCAGCCTTTTTACAATACTCGTTTATCTGAAAATGCAGTACTTGGAACTTCTGTCATCAAAATTGCTGCGACCGATGTGGATCAGGGCGCAAATGGGCAAGTAACGTATTATATCAATCACCTATCTGACAATACGAAAGAACTGTTTAAAATTGACGAAAATTATGGAGAAATATCTGTAATTGGACAGCTGGACCACGAACAGGCCTCCTCGTACGAGATGGAAGTGCAGGCGGAGGATGGTGGTGGTCAGACAGGCCATTGTAAAATTGCTATTGAAATAGATGACGTCAATGATAACGCGCCTGTTATATCAGTAAAGTCTCTGAAAAAAATAATCCCAGAAAACATCCCACCCGGTTCAGAGATCGCTGTAATAAACGTGAAGGACCAAGATTCCGGTCAAAACAGCTGGGTTAGTTGTTCCATTTCGACAAGTCTGCCATTTCAACTACAGCCTTACATCAAATCTTATTTCATCATCACTACAACTCGTTCGCTTGATCGGGAACAAATCGAAAATTACAATGTAACAATAACAGCAACGGATGGAGGTACTCCCCCTTTATTCTCCAATATAACTCTGAACATACAAGTTTCAGACATCAACGACAACCCCCCTACATTTGAGTTACAAACATATGTCGTTTATTTAAGTGAAAATAACAAACCAAGCACGTCTGTTTGTTCTATCAGTGCAAATGACCCAGACTGGAGACAGAACGGGACTGTACTGTACTCTCTGGTAACCAGTGAAGTCAATGGGGTCCCAGTGTCCTCGTTTCTATCTATTAATGGAGATACAGGGGTGATTCATGCTGTAGGATAATTTGACTATGAGCAGTTCAGAAACTTCACTGTCAAAGTTGTTGCCAGAGACAATGGATCTCCACCGCTCAGCAGTAACGTGACTGTGAAAGTCTTCATAACAGATGAGAATGATAACTCTCCACAGATATTATACCCTGTTCCTGATGGAAAGTCTTTAATGACTGAAATGATCCCTAAAGCGACTCTCTCAGGCTCTCTGGTGTCCAAGGTGATCGCTGTAGATGCTGACTCTGGACAGAATGCATGGCTGTCCTATCAGATTGTCAAATCTACTGATCCGAGACTGTTCACTATTGGTCTCCATAGTGGAGAGATCAAAACACAACGAGACATTTCTGAATCTGACAATATGAAGCAGAACCTTGTTATTTCGGTGAAAGATAACGGACAGCCCTCTCTGTCTACGACCTGTTCTGTAAATGTACTAATTTCTGACAACCTTTCTGAAGTTCCTGAACTTAAAGATATGACTTATGAGGACAACAACTCTAAATTAACGTCCTACTTGATAATTGCATTAGTTTGCGTGTCCACCTTCTTACTGACGTTCATCATATTGATCGTGGCAGTGAAGTTTTGTCACAGGAGAAAGCCCAGACTGTTGTTTGATGGAGCAGTTGCTGTTCCCAGCGCCTATCTCCCTCCCAACTATTCAGATGTGGATGGAGCAGGAACTCTCCGCAGCTCTTACAATTATGACGCGTATCTATCTAACCACAGGCTCGCGCACCAGTGACTTTAAGTTTGTGAGCTCATATAATGAAAACACGCTTCCTGCTGGTGGAACTCTGATGAAGAGTGACATCGATTCTAATATGTTGCACTTGTCTGACGAAGGGGAGTGTACAGAGGTAAAGGTCTGTTTTAATCCTTAACGTTTGCCCGTCTGTACTGTGACTTGGAAACACATCTGCAAAAAAAAAAGAAAAAAAAAGAAATGATGACGATGATGCACTTAAGCCCTTAAAATGCTTTAGAACAGATTCTGTTTTGAATTTTTGCATTGTCTCCCTTTGATATTTTAATAGAAATTCATTTTTTTAATTCCCTTTGACTTCCACAACTCTTAGTTTGAGGAAAACCTTTGCTAGAATCTTCTTGCAAGAAAAAAAATCATAATATCGGCGCCTCTGTCTGCTCCTGAGCCTTGTGTTATTCACATTTTACATGGTCATTTTCAACATCCTGAAAGAGTTGTAGACTACGGTGCCTTTAAAATAAACATTTAAAAATTAAATGAGTGTGCTGACGGGGTTTAACGTTTTGCCTGTAGATATTTTCACACTACGCAGTGTGTCGCTGTTGATCTGTGCCAGGAATTTGTTAATCGGTCCACCCATTTGCTTTGCATCCTATTTTCAGATCACACCTCTCATGGTCAGACCACTGCTGTTTGTGTCTGAGGACAATAAATATCTTAATAATAGGCCTATTAAATTGTCTTAAATAATTTCCTTCACGTTTATTTAGAATGGAATACACTTCATATGCGTCGCGGCGATCAGTGTGGAAAGCCATTGTCCTTTATTCATTCGCTGTTTCATTATGCTTAGGAGATGTATGTTATTCCCTTCTAGAGGAAATTAAGCGAAGGTCAGTGGTCGGCAATATTGCGCAGGATTTAGGAGTTCATAGGAATACATTTTCATCACGGAATCCAAGGATTGAGTTTGATGGAAGAAACCGCTACTGTGAAATCAACGCGCAGAATGGGGAACTGGTTATAAATGAAAGGATTGACCGAGAAGAGCGCTGCGGACAAAAACCTTTGTGCACATTAGCTTTTGATTTCTTCATGGAAAACCCCCTTGAACTACACCTTATAACTCTGGAGATTCAAGACATAAACGACAACAACCCGACCTTCCCCCACAGTGAGGTAAAATTAGATATCCCAGAGTTTACAGTTAAAGGGTCTCGATGTTCCATCGACGAAGCTGCGGACCCAGACAGCGGAATAAATTCAGTACAAGGTTACAGACTCTCAAATAACCCGTATTTCAGTTTAGCTGTACAGACTAGCGCCGAAACTGGGAAATATGCAGAAATAGTGTTGGAGCATGAACTGGACCGTGAAAAACAAGACAAGCATTCTCTTATTTTGATAGTTTATGACGGGGGCAATTCTCAGAAATCAGGCACTGTAGTTATACAAATCTGCGTTTTGGACATTAATGATAATAAACCAGTTTTTTTCTCAGCCAGTAGGTACATAAGGTGTGTCCCTGAAAACCTTCCAGTAGACTCAATTGTGGTTACTGTGAGTGCCAGTGAAGCTGACGAAGGAGCAAACGGAGATGTTACTTATGAATTTAGTCATATGCCAGTGAATGCAAAGTCTATTTTTTCAATAGACCCCATATCGGGTGAAATAACAATTAAAGGGCCATTAGATTTTGAAGACAATCCTTCGTTTGAGATCCGAGTTAAAGCAAAAGACGGAGCTGGTCTAGCAGCCACTTCTAAAGTGGTAGACATCAGTGATGTCAATGATAATGCTCCCTTTATCATGATTAAATCTCTTAAAACGCCGCTTCTGGAGGATGTGACTGTGGGTACAGAAGTTGCAGTTATATACGTGCAGGACAAAGATACAGCATCTAATGGAAATATGAAATGGTTTATTCAGCAGAACGATCACTTTAAACTAATACCATCAATTAAGAACCACTTTGCATTGGTAACAGCAGAAGCGTTGGACCGAGAGAGAGAATCTGAATACAATATCACGATTACAGTAATGACGAGGGTTCCCCGCCCTTAACGTTATCTAAAACTATTAGATTATTTGTCTCAGATGTGAATGACAATCCTCCTGCTTTCGTGCAGCAGTCCTACAGTGCTTATATAAGTGAAAATAACAAACCAGGCACTTCTGTTTGTTCTGTCAGTGCAAATGACCCAGACTGGAGACAGAACGGGACAGTACTGTACTCTCTGGTAACCAGTGAAGTCAATGGGGTCGCAGTGTCCTCGTTTCTATCTATTAATGGAGATACAGGGATGATTCATGCTTTAAGATAATTTTAATATGAGCAGTTCAGAAACTGTTTTAAAACGTAGCTTTTAGTAAGTTTTAACGTATTGGCCTAAAAGTGATAGAACATTTATCACGTTGAGGTCAAAAATACAGTGTACATCCACGTTAAAACTTAGTCAAGAATTATGTTTGGTTGAATCAGTGAATAGAATGATATCTCCCCTTTTCATTTAAAACTGATTTAGTCGTCGAATTACTATGAATTTAAAGTTAATTTTTTGTTTTTCGTCCAATGTCTGTGAGGTCATCCGGTTTCAGCACCACAAGTCTGGACAGTTGTATTTTATCTTTGATTGCGTGACAATTTTCAGTTCTTCCCCAATATAAATATAGCTACGCAATTATATAACTTATCTTACAATAAAACGAGCTAACAAACATGAGACTTTACTTGGTTGATCACTGTAATCTTTTCAATAAATATATTAATGTTGCAATGAACAGAAAAATACTCACAGCGTCGCTATTCACCAAGTGTGCAGACTGATGCGTCTCTCCTCCCACACCTAATGTATGCAATATTAGCTCTGTCTATTAGAATAAGCGCCGAACAAAATGGAGTAATAGTCCGTCGACAAACATAGAATTATAATATCATTCGTCAAAGATTCGCTTACTGTTGAGAAGGTGCAATATCAAATCTTCAAAAATGGAATACAGGTTATTTTTACGTCCTATCTTTGCGTTTATCGTGGCTTTCATTATGTTTCCTCTGAGGTCTGTCTGTGATGATCTGAGCTACAATATTCCGGAAGAAACGAAGCGCCAGTATGTGATTGGAAATATAGCAAAGGATCTCAGGATGGATGTGAAACAATTATCTGCTCGTAAGGCTCGGATAGACAGTGAGGACAGCAGCAAACGGTACTGTGATATTAATCTGAATACTGGTGATTTAATCGTGGCAGAGACAATAGACCGAGAGGAGCTTTGTGGATCTCGAATGTCCTGTATTGTCAGTAATGAGCTCGTCCTGGAAAACCCTCTTGAAGTCCATCGTATAATTCTGCAAATTCAGGATATAAATGACAACGCACCACGATTTCCAAATGAACGTATTCACTTTGAAATCAGAGAATCAGCAGTTAAAGGCCAGCGATTTCGTTTGCATGAGGCTCATGATTCAGATATCGGGAATAACGCACTCAATGGTTATTCACTAGAGAAAAATAAGCATTTTGTTTTAAATGTTCATGATACTGCAGATGGGGGAAAATACGCTGAACTCGTGTTGGAAAAGGAGTTGGATCGTGAACAGCAGAAGGAGATAGATATGATACTCACAGCCACTGATGGTGGTTCACCGCAGAGGTCTGGCACTGCTGTCATACACATCACTGTTCTCGATGCTAATGATAATGTCCCAGTGTTTAGTGAGTCTGTTTATAAAGTCACCCTGGCTGAAAATACACCTTCAGGAACAGAAATAATCCGAGTGAGCGCCACTGATGCTGATGAAGGTCAAAACGGGGAAGTGACTTATGAATTCAGCAGAATTTCACATAAAGCTGCCAAATTATTTTCTATTGATAAGACAACAGGGCAAATTATGGTGGTTAGAGAAACTGATTATGAAAATGAAAAAAACTATGAAATGGGGATCCATGCTCAGGATGGTTTTACTAATTTCTGACAACCTTTCTGAAGTTCCTGAACTTAAAGATATGAGTTATGAGGACAACAACTCTAAATTAACGTCCTACTTGGTCATTGCATTAGTTTGCGTGTCCACCTTCTTCCTGACGTTCATCATATTGATCGTGGCAGTGAAGTTTTGTCACAAGAGAAAGCCCAGACTGTTGTTTGATGGAGCAGTTGCTGTTCCCAGCGCCTATCTCCCTCCCAACTATGCAGAGGTGGATGGAGCAGGAACTCTCCGCAGCTCTTACAATTATGACGCGTATCTAACCACAGGCTCGCGCACCAGTGACTTTAAGTTTATGAGCTCTTATAATGAAAACACGCTTCCTGCTGGTGCGACTCTGATAAAGGAGCACAATATTCAATTTGGAACCAGCATGATAACACTTGACATTACAGGGAATGAAGATGAGGTAAGAGAGGCTATTTATTACTTTATTTATTTTGAATAGTATTTCCATTGATAATTTCAGCTACTTTACTGTTTAAGGCGGTTGTTGTTTAAACATTTTTAGGTGCATAATTCATGAAAACCTCACATTTTATTATTTTGTATGATATTGCTATCACTCCTAGTATTTCTGCATTTCTTTTTAGCTTATAGAACACGTTTGCCACTGATATAGAAAAAACTGTTTATGGACCAAATTATTGGGTCATCAAATTTTGATCTCATGAATTTGTATAGTTTCTGCACGTCATTCAGATTTCCTGGTGTGATGGAATATAATGTTGCCTTCATCAATTATGAAAAAAACAACGGTCTACTTTTGAGGCATTTTTTTTAAATCTTATTTTTGTTCCTTATTGCATTAAGTTTATCACCACGGCAGTACCAAAGGTATGTTGCCTTCATCAATTATGAAAAAAACAACGGTCTACTTTTGAAGCATTTTTTTTAAATCTTATTTTTGTTCCTTATTGCATTAAGTTTATCACCACGGCAGTACCAAAGGTTTTTTTTTTGTTGTGTAAAAAAGGTGAATAATAGGACCTTGACTAGTAAAACTGTGTATTTGATCTTTGTCTGAATTAACAGTTTCATGGCTTGTTGATACAAGGTTGATTGTATCACTCTAAGGTTGGTATATAGTTACGGTGGCCAAGAGAGCTCAATGCGCTGCAAATGAAGAAAAAAGAAAAAAAAAAGAAAAGAAAAAAACCTTGCAAATAGAAAAAAAAAAAATAATACACACACAAAAAAAGGCGCGCTTCCCTTAAACATTTCCGATATGATCTGTGCATATTTGCAGCGTGTTTCTGTTTTTGTTTGTTTGTTTTGTATTTGCATAGCATTGGTTTGTGTTGTGAGAATTTGCATCGCGTTTATGTATTTGTTTGTTTGTTTTGTATTTGCAGCGTTTCTTTTTTTGTGTTGTGAGAATTTGCAGCGCGTGTGTTGTCAAATTGATGAAGGTGGCTTCTTAATTCGCAGGTGGGTTTGTTTCTATTTGCATGTGTTTTTTCATTTGCAGCGCTTTCAGCTCTCTCGGCCACCATAGGATAGTAAAATGTACAACATTTAAAACCTACTAAAGAACCAAGTTTAGTTGAAATGGTGAAAAAGACATTCATTACTAGAACGGATTTACTTATTTATTTAATATAAATTCAGGGTTACATCAGTATATTCTGAACCAGTCTGTCTTTGAGCTTATTTAGTTTCAGCACCACAAGGGTGGACACCGCCAGCACTGACTGTTGTATTTTTTTCTCTGAAGACGTGACGTCTTTCACTTTTTTCCCTGTATAATAATTTTACATTTATTGAAATTTAAAATAATAATTTTAAATTTAAATTTAAACTGTTAATTTATTGAAAAATAACACGTAAAAAAAAACACAGACGTATTCTGGTTCCTACCCGTCGTCTTTTCATGCAAGACGCAATGAGCAGAAAATACTCACAGTGCCGCTATTGACCAAAAATGCAGACTGTCTCTCCTCCCACACTTAATGCAAGCAATATGAGCTCTGTCTGTTAGACTAAACGCCGCACAAAATGGAGTAACAGTCCGTAGACACCGACAGAATTAATGGAATATCATCCGTCAAAGAGCCACTAACTGTTGAGTATTTGCAACATCAAATCTTCAAAAATGGAACACGGATTATTTTCAGTTCCTTTCTTTACGTATTTCGTTGCTCTCATTCTCTTTGCTCCGAGAACCGTCTGTGATGATCTGAGCTACAATATTGATGAAGAAACGAAGTGCCAGTATGTGATTGGAAATATAGGCAAGGATCTCAGGATGGATGTGAAACAATTATTTGCTCGAAAGGCTCGGATAGACAGTGAGGACAGCAGCAAACGGTACTGTGATATTAATCTGAATACTGGTGATTTAATCGTGGCAGAGACAATAGACCGAGAGGAGCTTTGTGGATCTCGAATGTCCTGTATTGTCAGTTATGAGCTCGTCCTGGAAAACCCTCTTGAAGTCCATCGTATAATTCTGCAAATTCAAGATATAAATGACAACGCACCACGATTTCCAAATGAACGTATTATCTTTGAAATCAGAGAATCGGCAGTTAAAGGCCAGCGATTTCGTTTGGATGAGGCGCACGACAAGGATATAGGACAAAATGGTATTAATGGCTATTCGCTGGCGAAGAATGAACATTTTACTTTGGATATTCACGATAGTGCAGACGGTGGAAAATACGCTGAACTCGTGTTGGAAAAGGAGTTGGATCGTGAGCAGCAGAAGGAGATAGATATGATACTCACAGCCACTGATGGTGGTTCACCGCAGAGGTCTGGCACTGCTGTCATACACATCACTGTTCTCGATGCTAATGATAATGTCCCAGTGTTTAGTGAGTCTGTTTATAAAGTCACCCTGGCTGAAAATACACCTTCAGGAACAGAAATAATTAGAGTGAGCGCCACTGATGCTGATGAAGGTCCAAACGGGGAAGTGACTTATGACTTCAGCAGAATATCAGACAAAGCTGTAACATTGTTTTCTATTGATAAGACAACAGGACAAATTGTGGTGATCGGAGAAATTGATCATGAAAATGAAAAAAACTATGAAATGATAATTCAGTCTAAAGATGCATCTGGATTAGCATCAACTGCTAAAGTTATAATAGATATAACTGATGTTAATGACAATCCGCCTAGAATCACCCTTAAATCTTTGAATAATCCAGTACCTGAAAACTCTGAGCCAGGCACTGAGGTGGGAATCATTAATGTTCAAGACAAAGACTCAGGAGAAAACCGGCAGATTCGTTGCTCTGTTCAGCAGAATGTTCCTTTCAAACTGAACCCATCTGTTAAAAACTATTTCTCTCTAGTGACTACAAAAGCTCTAGACCGAGAGAAAGAATCTGATTACAACATTACCATCACAGCCACAGATGGGGGATCTCCACCATTATCCACCTCCATGACAATTCATTTATTTGTCTCAGATGTGAATGACAATCCTCCTGTATTTTTGCAGCAGTCATACAGTGCTTATATACGTGAAAATAACAAGCCAGGCACTTCTGTTTGTTCTGTCAGTGCAAATGACCCAGACTGGAGACAGAACGGGACAGTACTGTACTCTCTGGTAACCAGTGAAGTCAATGGGGTCGCAGTGTCCTCGTTTCTATCTATTAATGGAGATACAGGGATGATTCATGCTGTAAGATCATTTGACTATGAGCAGTTCAGAAACTTCACTGTCAAAGTTGTTGCCAGAGACAATGGATCTCCACCGCTCAGCAGTAACGTGACTGTGAAAGTCTTCATAACAGATGAGAATGATAACTCTCCACAGATATTATACCCTGTTCCTGATGGAAAGTCTTTAATGACTGAAATGGTCCCTAAAGCGACTGTCTCGGGCTCTCTGGTGTCCAAAGTTATCGCTGTAGATGCTGACTCTGGACAGAATGCATGGCTGTCCTATCAGATTGTCAAATCTACTGATCCGAGACTGTTCACTATTGGTCTCCATAGTGGAGAGATCAAAACACAACGAGACATTTCTGAATCTGACAATATGAAGCAGAACCTTGTTATTTCAGTGAAGGATAACGGACAGCCCTCTCGGTCTACGACCTGTGCTGTAAATTTACTTATTTCTGACAACCTTTCTGAAGTTCCTGAACTTAAAGATATGACTTATGAGGACAACAACTCTAAATTAACGTCCTACTTGATCATTGCATTAGTTTGCGTGTCCACCTTCTTCCTGACGTTCATCATATTGATCGTGGCAGTGAAGTTTTGTCACAGGAGAAAGCCCAGACTGTTGTTTGATGGAGCAGTTGCTGTTCCCAGCGCCTATCTCCCTCCCAACTATTCAGATGTGGATGGAGCAGGAACTCTCCGCAGCTTTTACAATTATGACACGTATCTAACCACAGGCTCGCGCACCAGTGACTTTAAGTTTATGAGCTCGTATAATGAAAACACGCTTCCTGCTAGTGAGACTTTGAAAAAGGAACACAATATTCAATTTGGAACCAACATGATAACACTTGACGTTACAGGGAATGAAGATGAGGTAAGTGAAGTTTAACTCCTCTTGACTCTCTTTAATTACAGTATTGTATTTCCTGGTGTCTCCGTTTATAAATATTTTAATAATAATAATAATAATAATAATAATAATAATAATAATGATGATGATGATGATGATGATGATGATAAATAAATAAATAATATCAGCCACTTCTTTTTAAAGCGGTTTTTGTTTAACAATGCTGGGTGGCTATTTATGAGAACCTCACACTTCATTATAAATGTCTGTATTTTATTGCCATCAGCTCTCTTCATTTCCTGCCCTTCATTTTAAGGTATCTATAAAATACGATGGCCACATCTATAAAGAAAACTATTAAATAGACCTGAATGGGTCTTTGACTTGCTTCTAGTCCCACGATTTAGTAAATTTATTGGCACACAGCTATCAGTATCTGGTATGACGGCATTTCACGTTGCATTGTTGAATTTTGGATAAGATATATACGTTTATTTCCGAAGTAATACTTTGTTTTACTGTTATTTCCCTTTCTTTATCTTTTTTAATAAGCCTTTTTTAATTTTCATTTATTATTATTATTATTATTATTTTGAGATGGATCGTACATTATTTCAGTTAAAACTTGAAGTAGTCAATACAAATACATTTTTATTTTAAAACCAGTTTTTCTCATTTCGCCTAATCTGTCTGTGAAGTCATTCGGTTACAGAACCACAGGTCTAGACAGCACCAGTACTGACTGTCTGAAAACGTGACATATTTCACTTACATTACAATTGGATTTCTTCAAAAGTTAATAATTATTTCGCAATAAGCTTTGAACTACCTCACACTTTAATGTAGTTGATGTCTGAAGTGTTTTCATTCAATAGACCAGATTATGTAGGTCGCGATTTATTGATATAATACATTTGTGTACTTCCTGCCTTCTTGCACACCTTTAACAGTAGCTACTTCAACCTTGCGTTCATCAATTCTGTAATATATATATATATATTTTTTGATGAATTTCTTTTTTTTTTCTTTATGGGAATTGCGGTCTTCAAACGTGTTTAGAAAAAGTAATGTGGCATTGACTAAGTTGTGTAGTTGAGCTCTGTCAGATTTAAGAGTATCTTGCAATTTTCTGTTGTTGTTTTAGCCTAAAAACAAAATTAGCTATTTTGTAAGGTTTAACGTAGGTTATATGGTCTGAAAGTATTAGAACAGTTATCACCTTGAGGACGATAGTACAGTGTACATATACGTTAAAATTTAGAAAAAAAAGTAAAAGAAAAAAAATAGGTTGAAGCGCTGAATAGGATAATAAGCTTCTCTGTCTTTTAAAACGGTTTCACTCTTTTATTCAATTTGGATTTAAAGTTACGTTAGTATTTTCTAGTTGAATGTCTCTGAGGTCATCCCGTTTCAGAACCACAAGCATGGACAGCGCCAGAACCTTCTGTTGTTCTTTATCTCTGAATGTGTGACTATTTTCAATCAGTTTCCTATATTTATTTTAATGTAAATTGATATTTTACAATAATAAGCGTCGACAAACATCAAACTTCACTTGGCTAATCCCTGCTGTTTTTTCAATAAATACATGAATGATGCAATGACCCAAAAAAACTCAGAGTGTCGCTATTCACCAAGACTGATGTGACTCTCATCCCACACTTAATGCATGCAAGATGAGCTGTGTGTTAGAATAAACGCCGCACAAAATGGAGTAACCGCCCATAAATGCTGACAGAATTGTTAGAATATTTTCCGCAAAAGAGTAATTTACTATTGAGCATTTGCAGCATCATCTCTTCAAAAATGGAATACAGATTATTTTCGGTCCCTTTCTTTGTGTTTTTCGTGGCTTTCCTTCTATTTCCTCTGACAGCCGTCTGTTCAGATATGAGCTACAATATTCCGGAAGAAACGAAGCGCCAGTATGTGATTGGAAATATAGCAAAGGATCTCAGGATGGATGTGAAACAATTATCTGCTCGTAAAGCTCGGATAGACAGTGAGGACAGCAGCAAACGTTACTGTGATATTAATCTGAATACTGGTGATTTAATCGTGGCAGAGACAATAGACCGAGAGGAGCTTTGTGGATCACAAATTCCCTGCATTCTTAGCTATGATCTCGTCCTGGAAAACCCTCTTGAAGTCCATCGTATAATTCTTCAAATTCAGGATATAAATGACAACGCACCACGATTTCCAAATGAACGTATTATCTTTGAAATCAGAGAATCGGCAGATAAAGGCCAGCGATTCCGTTTGGATGAGGCGCATGACGCGGATGTCGGACAAAATGCGGTCAACAGTTATTCACTGCAGAAAAATCAACATTTTATATTGACTGTTCATGATACTGCAGATGGGGGAAAATACGCTGAACTCGTGTTGGAAAAGGAGTTGGATCGTGAGCAGCAGAAGGAGATAGATATGATACTCACAGCCACTGATGGTGGTTCACCGCAGAGGTCTGGCACTGCTGTCATACACATCACTGTTCTCGATGCTAATGATAATGTCCCAGTGTTTAGTGAGTCTGTTTATAAAGTCACCCTGGCTGAAAATACACCTTCAGGAACAGAAATAATCCGAGTGAGCGCCACTGATGCTGATGAAGGTCAAAACGGGGAAGTGATTTATGAATTCAGCAGAATGTCAGATAAAACTGCAAAATTATTTTCTATTGATAAGACAACAGGACAAATCGTGATGACTGGAGAAATTGATTATGAAAAAGACAAAAAGTATGAAATGGGAATTCAAGCAAAAGATGCATCTGGATTAGCATCAGCTGCTAAAGTTATAATAGATATAACTGATGTTACATCATATTTGATCATTGCATTAGTTTGCGTGTCCACCTTCTTCCTGACGTTCATCATATTGATCGTGGCAGTGAAGTTTTGTCACAGGAGAAAGCCCAGACTGTTGTTTGATGGAGCAGTTGCTGTTCCCAGCGCCTATCTCCCTCCCAACTATGCAGAGGTGGATAGAGCAGAAACTCTCCGCAGCTCTTATAATTATGACGCGTATCTAACCACAGGCTCGCGCACCAGTGACTTTAAGTTTGTGAGCTCGTATAATGAAAACACGCTTCCTGCTGGTGAGACTTTGAAAAAGGAGCACAATTTTCGTTTTGGTTCAAGCATGATAACACTTGACTTTACGGGAAATGAAGATGAGGTAAGAAAGGCTTAATTCCCCCGAACTCTCTTGAATCACTGGTTTTCCTGGTTTCCGCTGATTATACATTTATTTTTGTATGTCAATTAATAATGTCAGGTACTTGTAAATCGATTTTTGTTTGCAGATGCTGAGTGGCAATGAATGAGAACCTCATATTTAATTTCAAATATCTGTATTATATTACTATCAGCCCTCTCCACCTACTGCCTTTAATGTGAAGGTATCTATAAAACACGATGACCACATAGTGAAAACTATTTAAATGGACCAGAACGAGTCTCTGGCTAGCTTGTATTCTCATAATTTTGCACATTTTCGGCACACCGTTATCAGTTTCTTGGACGACAGAATAGAATGTTGCATTAATTAATTTTAGACAATATACATAGGTTTTTTTTTTTTTGAGGTTATACTCTGTCATCTTTTTTATTCTTCTTTTTATTCGTTAATAAGCCGTTTCAGTCTTTAGTTTAATGTCGCATTTTCCACTACCTTTCATAACCATTATTATGGTCACGCATTTAATTTGTTTTTATCTCTGACAGTTCAAGAGTTTGTTTATATCATTTTCAGTTGGTTTTATCCGCCCAC